GCCAAAACTCTTTTATTTAGGGCTGCATTATGCTCCATTTCGAAGTACTGTTTATCTCAGAAACTGAGAAATACTGAGGCCTTGGCACAATTTAAGCTTTGAATCTACTTTTAATTAGTGGAAACCTCCTTATAATTTGCAAAAGATTTGTGCTTGTGCCATTAGTAAGTAGTATACTTGTAGATTTTATATACAGTTGATTCCGGTTAATCGGACCACATCGTGAAGCAATCGTTTTGGTCCTAATAACCGACCGGTCCGATTACACGAACATGGCGTATGTTGTAAGACGGGACATGCTATATGTAGCAAACAGTAAATGTACATGTAAATCATGTACTAAATTGTAATTATGACTTCTCTTGTGCGGTACACACGTATGACGAACATACATGTACAAACAGGAACTACTGTCAAACTTTTTTCATTGAGAAAATTAATTTGGAAACAAATTCTAAGAAACAATCTCCACGATACTCAACAAGCGAAGCACAAGAAAACAATTTCTTACCAAGTTCTAGTCAAAATTTGAAGAACTTATCCAATGTGATCTGACACGTTCTCTTGACGTTTTGCACGGGAACGAAATCGCCACAAACATCCAACACTGCTATGGGATTGCCTTCATTTCCCTCCTGCATGAAATTCTGACGCAAAGTTTCAATGTATTTCCTCGCATCCTGTGTTGTCACTTGCACCAACTTATTAGTGGCATCATCATCATCACTTTCTTGGTCTTCCGATGCTGTCATGTGTTTTCCTGCAACTCGAGTAACAATTGCAGCGTTGTAATCTTCATTTTCATTGTAGTATTAAAGCTCGTTGTCAATGGATAAAAATTCTTCGCAATTCTGTACCTGTTAAAGTTCCACATGTAAATCATCATTTTCACTTTCAATGAGCATGTCCATATCCATCTCCAAAGCCAAGTGCTTAAAGCCACTGTTAGAAAAACAGGTCTGAATTGTCTCACTGCTCACTTTTTGCCAGCTCCCGGCCACAAATGTAACTGCTTGTAAGAGTATGGATAAGTTGACCTTTGCATTGATGTAATTAACCAACTTTGCACGATAAAGAGTCTTCAAATTTTTGATGATGCCCATGTCCATTGGCTGGACCAAAGCTGTGGTCTTGAGAGGTAGAAATTCCAGTTGGATGTTCTTCAAGCAATCTAAATGAGGATGTGCTGCACAATTGTCAAGAAGAAGCAACACTTTTTTCAACTGGCGTTGTAGCTCTCTGTCCCAGTCCTTCAGCCATTCTTTAAAAAGTTCAGTGGTCATTCATGCACTTTAAAAAAGCATTCTAATTTCATTTAAATGCATTCTTTAAAAAGTTCAGTGGTTCGCACAATACGCAACTGGTAAACTGTCCATCCTAAGTCCTTTAAAGCAACGAGACTTAGTGCTTTTTCCTATAACCAACAGCTTCCTCTTGTCCGTTCCTGACATGTTTGAGCAGCATAAGACAGTTGCGTGATCCATCGATTTTTGGGAGCTAGAGAGTGCAATGTGTTTGTAACTTAACGAAGACATCTGGTGTAGCATGATAATACAGCCCAGTTTCATCAGCATTGTAGATGTCATCTGTTGAAAAATTTTCAAGAAGCTCGGGCAGTTTTGTTGATTTCCATTCTTCAGCATTTGCACTATAAGCACTTTCTCACAATTTGCTTTCTTAAACTTTATGTCATGTCTAGATTTCCATCGAGACAACCAACCATTCATAGCTTTAAAGTCATTGTGGCCCAGCTTTTTAGCGAGTTCTTCTGCTTTGCATTTTAACATTGGGTCGCATACTCGCACAAATCATCCAGTAACAATGGGAAACACTTTATTAAGGGCCTCATCAACATTTGGGTCCTTGCCGTCATGCCTTCGTTTTTTGGAAGTTCCTTCACATCCTTTACATTATGCCCATTCTTCTCGCAGCTCATTCTCTTGTTTTAGGAAGCACGAAATTGTAGTCTTTGGCAATCCGGTTATTTCCACCAACCAACGCTGATTAGTGTTTCGTGGTTGTTGCTTGATCTTATCCAGGAAACCAATTTTTTCAGCTAATGTCAAGTCCCGTCGTTGTATTTTGGCAGGGCAGACAAGACATGCTCACAGTTCACTGACTAAAATGGTCTAAAAAAACCTTGATATTTCAAGTTCAAGATGTTGTGGTTAAGAGGGAGATAAAATGCTCGTCATTCAAAGCTTTGGCACTAAAACCATCTAAAAAAGGTGATGAAATGATAGCTTTCTCATGTAAACTTTAATCATGATTGACAGGCGGGAATTCCTTTCAGGTGGAGCTGGACACTCTATTGTTCATTTCCTCGAAACTTGGAGTCGCAGGTCAAAGATAATGGTGCGTGAGTTCACCTCCCACCAGTTTTGCTTTTGTCAATTGCTTTAATTCAGCGCTGTCCAACTTATCATAGCCCGCAGGCCATATTTTCTTCACCAAACATTTCAGGGGCCAAGAAGGTTGATAAATGAAAAGTCAGTTTATATTAATTAAAAAAAATATTATTTATACTAAAAAGAAAACTTTAAAATATAAATTATTATGCTCCAAATTAAACCTTAACAATTTTAACTTGTTTCTAAATCCAGTAACATATTTATAAAGACAACACACATTTTGATCTTGTCCTTACAAGGATTTATTCAAAATATTTAAATAATTTGTAACGTCCGTGAGGAAAGTAAATGAATAAATAAAATTTTTATCAACTAAATTTGCTGTCAAATTTTCATCGACGACAATTTCTTTTCAAAGTGTAAAGAATCTCCTCAAGCACTTTCCAGCACTTAACCAACGAACATTACTATGTAAAAGCAGATCTCCATACTCAGTTTCCAATTCATCCAAAAATGTTTTAAATTTTGTGTGCAAGAGAATGATTTCCTCTGCGAATTAAATTAGTAATTTTGCAAGCCTTATCCATTACGTCTTTTAGATGTAGGGCTAAACCACATAATGCCTCTAATGTAACATACGATATGTTATTCCTTCTTTTTGAAAAAGTCCCCTCGAGCCCAATATTTTTACCCCTCATAGCTCTAGCACCGTCGGTTACAATGCAGTGCACTTGTCAAATCCGTCATACTGCTCTACTGAACATTTTAATTGTTTGTAAATATCTTCACCTTTTGTTGTTCCATGTAATGATTGTAATTTTAAAAGTTCTTCTGAATAATTATAGTTTTCATTTACAGTTCTTATAAAGGTAAGCATTTGACTTGTATTGGAAATGTCTGTGCTTTCATCCAATGGTACCGAAAAATAGCAGCAACTATTGATTAGGTTTTCTAATTTATTAGTGACATGCATGCTAATCTCGTTTACACGTCGGCTTACAGTCTGGTGAGAAAGTGATACTATTTGAAATTTTCTTACCATTTCGTTGTCATTAAATGCTTGAGCCATTTTTATGGCACATTTATTAATGAATTCTCCATCAAAAACAAAAAAAAAAAAAAAAAAAAAACTTCAAATGATGCAGCTACAGATGCTTCTTGAAATTTTGGTTCTTGATTAAAATAAATCGTTTGATGATCCCAGCTGCTTTGTCATTTTTTTCACTAGTGGTATTTTCATGTCTCGCATGTACGAATGATACTTTTTTTCATGCACAGAAGATAATGGTGCTTCAAGTTATATTCTTTACACACAGCTATGATTTATAAACATTCCAAACACCGTGGTTTACCATTCTTGTTCAGAATAAATAAATAATCTATCTCTCAGTGATCTTGAAATTCTCGATTTTCGGGGTCTATTTTTCTTTTATTAGTAGCACTCATATTCAATAATTATTTTAATTAATTAATAAATATGAAGTTAAGTTAATAATATTACAACTAAGTCACCCCTCAACAAATTCTCTACAAGACTGCACTCGCACGATTGCATGAATCAACCAAATAGCGCAGGGTAGTGTGCACATCACGTGCGCCAACCATAGATAAACAACAACCAACCACAAATATAACTTTGAGCCAACCATCATCAGACGTTAAACGGATTGCTGCTGTATTTAGCCAGATTATGTGAAGTTAAGCAAACTATACCTACTTTAAATTCAAATTAGATTTAAATTTTCACATAGTAAAATGATTTTAATATTAATAATAATAATTTAGTAACATAAATTTATTCATATTAAAATGTACTCGCGGGTCGTAAAAATAATTTGGTGGGCCGCCAGTTGGACAGCCCTGCTTTAAGGAATTCCTGACCTTTGATAAAGCATTTTCCTGGGGAGCCGCAACTACAGATCCTCCCATATGTCGCAGAATTAAGCAACTCACAATGCAGTTTAATCGAGGAGAAGCCACAAACCTCTAGCAGATAACGCATTGGAACTTTCATTCGCAGCTTACCATTTAAACAGGTATTCCCATTGCATATTCTTCAGTGGCCTGGTAACCATAAAGCATCAAAGCTGTTTCATTCCGAGCATGGCTCTCGCTTGCTCACATTCAAAAAGCTTCAGTAAACCTATTTTTATACATCTATGGCCAACTTGTGACTTCTGTTTCTTATTCCCTCTCACATTTTTTTTATTTATTTATTTTTTTTTTTTTTTTTTTTTTTTTTTTTTTTTTTTTGTCAGATTAAACGGAATTATGGTGCAAATAAGCGAATAATATTAGGCTTATGTACATAGGATTTGTTTCGGTTCTTTAGGATTTGGTCCGAAAAAGCGGCTGGTCCGATTATCCGGTGGTCCAATTAACCAGATTCGACTGTATCTTCACTCTAGGTGCAGTTCATGCTGCCTTAAAGCACTTACCTGAAATCTTTACCTTCACTCCATATATTACAACCATTTACTTTGTTGGAATGTTTTGAAAATAAATAAAACATGGATTTGTAATTTTAAAATTGATTGAACCTAAAATTTACTTAATAATTATGGTTGGAATGCTATTCATTTTATTGAATATTGATTCATTTCTTTAATTTGTTTTAAAGATATTTTCATTTATTTATATGTTTTACAGGTATAGGTTGGAAAGACGAATCCTTTCTTGGAGCTCAGAATGAGGAATTTGATGCTGTTTTAGAAAATTTAAATAAAAATTATTTGTCAACTGGAAAAGAATTAAGTAAAGATTGTGAAGTGCGTTTAGTACAAAGATGCAAGAAATTTCGTGAAAGATTCCAGTAAGGAAATTTTCAATTGTGTTTGTTTTCTTAACTAATATTATAAATATGTAATGTTACTAGAATAGTTAATTATTCCAGTTAAAAAAAATATGAAGTGCATTGGGCTGATCTTTACAATATGGTAACTGGTAGTTTGGCGACATTTTGGAGGCGATAAAGGTTACTACCAGGGACTTTGGTTATAATGTGAGCAGTACTCAGTTCCGATTACGCATTATTTTGTGTGAGGAAAATGAGAGATCATGTAATATGTCATGTGATATTAATGGACGAATTACGGTTCTTTAATCGGAAAAGGGGGAAAATCGGGAAAAAATCTGGAAATTTTGTATTTGCCTTTATTCTGTGTTGTGTGAAACAGTGTTCGTTAATTTTTGGATCCCATGGCCCTAACTAAAGTGAATTCGAAATGGGTATTTAGTGGGATTGAAAGGGGTAATAAGTGTTTCTTTAAGGTTGTGTGATATAGAAGTAAAGATGTTTTATTAAGTTATTTATTTTACCTGGTACCTTGGTGTGAACTATAAGTATGATTTTAAAGATCCTGAAACAGAAATAAGAAAAGTTGATCAGACACGCAATCAAGATTCTGAAGAAGAATAGGTAAGTTAGTATTTTTAATTATTTGAGGATATTTATTTTTATGCATTTGTTCTAAATGTAAGGTGGAAGTAAAGTATTTTGCGTAAACGTGCATGGAAATAATTTAAATATTTGACACTAAGTATTTGTAACCATTTGTAATGAAGTAAAGGTATGAATTAGTTAGTGACGTTTGTAATATAATAGATAATGTAGAGGTAAAAGTTTTTGGATATTTTATTTATTTTATACGGGGAAATGTTCATATTTGGAAAGGGTATGTACTTTTTCGCGATCAGGTAATTTCATATATGTTCTTTTTACCGGGTTTAAAGATTCAGAAAATTGTTATGCATTTTCGTGAAATTTTTCTAATTTATGAGAAAAAGCAGTGTACATGGATATAGTGAAGAGTGTGCATAATGCCATTTTTGTGCAATTCTGGGATGTTTTTTTAAGTAAAAATAAGTACGTAAGTAGTTTTTTAAGTAAAAATAAGTCGACGTGTACATGGTTTAGTGATATTTTAATTAAATTATAGTTATTTTGTGAATTTTATGTTTGTAGGAATTTGGTATACGTTTAAGTTGAAGTAAACGTGCATGGAAATAATTTAAATATTTGACACTAAGTATTTGTAATGCTTGCAGTATGAATTTGTTGGTGACGTGTATAATATAATAGATGATTTAGAGGTAAAAGTTTTTGGATATTTTATTTATTTTATCTGTGGAAATGTTCATATTTGGAAAGGGTATAAACTTTTTCGCGATCAGGTAATTTCATATATGTTCTTTTTACCGGGTTTAAAGATTGAGAAAATTGTCATGTATTTTCGTGAAATTTTTCTAATTTATGAGAAAAAAGCAGTGTTCATGGATATAGTGAAGAGTGTGCGCAATACCATTTTTGTGTAATTCTGGGATTTTTTTTAAGTAAAAATAAGTCGACGTGTACATGGTTTATGTGTATGTGTTATTTTGAAAAACGCGTAAGGAGTATGGTATTGTGCACTTTTTCCCAATTTTTCAGTGAATATTTTTCATGATTAAGCAGTTTTGTTAGATAAAATTTCTAGCATAAGTGTAATTCGGCTAGTAGATTGTTGGAAGAAGTGTTCAGTAGATAAAAAGAAAAGAAACATGTCTTTACTTCGTGAAGACAAAATGACGGCGGGAAAAAAAAAAATAGAGGGTTGCTGTAAGAGAGTTGGTCGCCAAATGTTCGCCAAAAAAAACGCTAAGTTACCATAATGTGAAGATCAACCATGCATTGCATATATGAGAAAATAACTATGAATTGTGTTTTACACTTTTATGAATTCATAGCTTTACAAAACTAAGAAGATGCTTTGAAATTTGTTTGATATTTGTCTTCAGCATGTTAAGGAACATCATAATGTAGATAAAAATGAAACTTATTGTATTTGTGCTATTGAGCACATTTGTTCCTCCCTGAAAGTAAAACACTCTGTAACATCAAAGTGTACTACCATTTGTGAAACTTAAAAAGCACAATATATGTAATGTGAAAATACAGTATTTGTGAAAAGTTGTTCAACCGATTTAGGGGTGTTAATGTTAAACTGTTTCAAAAAAACTAAAAGAATGTGTGAGAGACCAATTACAGGAATGCAACTTAAAAAGCACAATATATGTAACGTGAAAATACAGTATTTGTGAAAAGTTGTTCAACCGATTTAGTGGTGTTAATGTTAAACTGTTTCAAAAAAACTAAAAGAATGTGTGAGAGACCAATTACAGGAATGCTTTGATAAACTGCATTAGGTTTGAAGTGCTTGGCTTACCTTACAGCTAGCTGTGTGTAAATTCTACTAAGTGCTAATACATCCTGTGACACAAGTTTTCATGAAGGGAGGGAAATATCAGAGTTCATGCAAACAGACTCTAAATAAAATTCAAATTAGATGTAATAAGTCTCTAATTTTAAGTCTTAACAAAAAAATACATATATTGCAGACAGCAGTTTACTTGTCTGGAGATTAGTTACAGTGTAAAACTTAAATATTAAGCAACTCGCAATGCAGTTTAATCGAGGAGGAGCCACAAACCTCTAGCAGATAACGCATATGAACTTTCATTTGCAGCTTACCATTTAAACAGGTACTCCCATTGCATATTCTTCAGTGGCCTGGTAACCATAAAACATCAAAGCTGTTTCATTCCGAGCGTGGCTCTCGCTTGCTCACATGCAAAAATTTTCAGTAAACCTATTTTTATACATCTATGCTTGCTGCATAAAAATCAACATGCATTCCTTGAAGGAGCATGCTGTGTAATTAAGTAAGAAGAGACAGGAAAGATGGAAATGAAAGGCAAATTGTTAATTAAATTGTCACGAAGAAACATCATAATAGAACTTACAAACTGAATTATGATTTAACTCCTTAACTGGTAAGTTTTTTCACCTGAAATGGTTCTAGAAATGGGTATTTTTTTCAGGGGGACATGTAAGTAAACAGCATGCTTAGCAAAGTATAACAATGTGATATTTATTTTGTAGCTTTCATAATTAGTGTTTTAAAATCTTTTTTTATTTTCCAGCTTTAAAACATAATTACCCCTAATGTGGGCTTTTTGCAATCACACTCAATATGTAATGGAAACAAGTAATGAAGTGGAAAACAAGAAATGCAGTGGAGACAAATTTACAATATTTCTGAAAAAATAAACTTCTGATAAACATTACATTAAATAAAACAAACACACATTTCTTAAAAACGTTAAACATTTCTAATAAAAAGAAACATTTCTTTTCTAGCAGCATGCCTTGCAGATCCAAGTTTCTTATTTGTGGAGGAAATAATTTCTATAAGTGTCTTTCTGTCAGTCTTAGAAGATAAAACTCAGAACTTGGTCATTAATATTTGGAATTTATTCCAGAATTGTATTTCTCAATAACAAAATCAAGTCTGAACTCTAATTGTGTGCTGTTTCCTCTCTTCGTACAGTAGACAACATAGGAGTTCCTTATACCAAAATATGGAAAAAAAATGTTTTTGTAATAGTTTCCCTCATTTTTTGACAATTTCAATGTTTTCATTTATGCTGCCAACTTCATTCATAATGTTATTATAATCCATTATGAGTTTGGGTTTTTCTTTCGTGTTTCTGAGCAAAATTCCACTTGAATGTGATTTTTAGTCCAAAGGGGCTTTGTCCCTGAAGGACTATTTTCGTTTTGCGATTTTGCGTTCTCGCTATAAATGTCCGTTTCACTTTTCAAACTGTTGCCACTAAATGTTAGAGTCCTGCATTATATTTGAAGAATTTAAATAATTAAAAAATCTGCATAAATGTATGTATATTTCTCGCATTGTGATAAAACAACGGTACATAGAGCCATCCAGTTTTAAATTATGTAATCCTATTGTGAATATGGGCATGTGGAAGCCCAAATTTGAAATTTGGAATTTGTTTTATTATCAATTTTGTATTGTGTAAAACTTTTAACGAATTTTTGATTAACAAACTCAAGGATTTCGAAGCAAGCAATGGCAACATTGTACAGAAAAAAACATTTTTATCTCCAGTGTGCGAGACTCTGTATCGGAAATTCTAAAGATATGCTCAATTTAAAGCTATTTTGCAATATTGCTCTTTAACTGAATTGTATATTGTAACTGAATTGAATGTTTTAAGTGCGAAAAAACGTGATATTTAATAAGTAAAGATAACAGACAAAATGTTAAAAAAATGCCCCTTTGGACATAATTTAAAATCAGAAACCTTTCAGATTTTCTTTTCTTTGCTTTCTTTCTTTATTTTTTTTTTTAATCCATCCATTTCATTACTTAGTTGTTCCTCTTTGAAAAGCTATGGTTTCATGGCTGCATTCCCTTTGGTACTTCTTTTCTCATCAGGTTTAGTGTGCTGTATGTTTCTGTTCAACACGAAATAAATTTGTCTGCTAATTCCTGTGAAGAATGATAATTGCTTGTAGTAAGAGAGTAACCTTTATGAAGCAATGTATCCTTCATTATCAGGACAACTTGTGATGAAATGCAAAGATCAGGAAGGATGCAATACTCAGATACTGAGAAATGCAATACTCAGGTTTCTAAGTTATATGTTTTCCTCAATAAATTGTAATCTATCACACATAACTGGATATCAACTCGCACAACATAAAATATTTTATCCCAGATCTAGCTCTGGAAATAAATTGCTTCCATTCCAGTCATCACTTTAATAGTGTATGTTTTTTGTCTTTTGAAACATCTTGGATTGGCATCACCGTCTCTCTAAATTTTTTGCTTAGATGTTTGATAACTGGCCATACTTTTACCAATTTGAAGCATTTCTGATTTTGGAGATCAAATTCTGAATTATCAGAGAAATGTAAATTGTATTAAAAAAGATAAGGAACTGACAGTAAGACATTATTTTAGGGAAATAAGTGCATAAGTGGAATATCTCTTGTTCCAGTATTGACCAATTCCAGATTTCTTTACAGTTCCTTGAAAGTGTTTAGAGTAAAAAATATATGCATCTCTTTTGAATTTGTTTCTCCCAAAACTTATGTCTTAAGAAATGTCCTATTACACTTGATTCAATACACCATTTAGCAAACTTATTTGTTTCTTAAACAATCATATTAATAAGAAACACTTCACTGAATGTATCATAAAATTGTAAAATGTCCAAAATATGATCAACTTGCATACATACAGAATGCATGCCAGTAAAATGGAATTGGAGGATTTTTCACATCAGTTTCAGTAAAATTTCTAACAGAACTCAAATCTTCAGCAAAGCTGAGCTCACTACACAAGTCATATGAAGAAGAATCCAGGCAACTGAAAGACATCTCTGAATCTGTATCAGATTTCAGTTTATCTTCTAACAACGAAGTATGTTCATCACATTCTTCCATAATTCTTTAACAAAAAAGTGCTCAAGTAAGACACTTTCGATTCAAAAGCCTTGCATACAACAGAGCAAAAGTTTCACGAGGCAGGGGGAAAATTCCAGCTCAGCTAAGAAAATAATGAATAAAACTTTTGAAATGACAAGCACAAAATGTGCTGTCTATTGAAAAATACTGAAATTAAATACTTAATTAACAGAAGTACTAAAAATATGACTAAATCAAAAAAGGAAACTAAAAAAATATCGATTCCAGTACGGCGTGTGGGCAGGGCCAAATTTGAGTACCCTGTACACCATACAAGCAAAACTATTAAAGGCTTAAATTAAGGTATTAGCTAAATGTATTTATTACTATACACTTCTATTTTCTTATCGCTGTTTTAAAAATGTGGATACTAAGAATTTTAATCATAATTTTTTATTTTCTTTTTGAAATAAAGCTACCGAAGATTTGTTAAAGAAGATATTAGCAAATATTCTGAAAAAGAAATGAAAGGCATTTTTATTGGTATGAAGACTCAGGTGGTAAGGCAATTTATACAATATGATTTCCTTTTATTTTCTGATTTCTCCCTCAATTATAAGAGTGTTTAATGATTAAAAAGCATGTGCATTACATTTCTGTATATTCATAGTTGTAAAATTGATTACATTGTATGGGTAAGTTTATCTACATAATAGTATGTACATTAGTTATTAATTTTATTTCTTTTGTTACAAATTTTGTACGTATGTAAATAATTTACATGAACTTATGTGTGAAATTGTAGTATCTTTTATATAATATAATATAAAATGCTTGAAAGAGTCAAAGCTCTGCTGCAAGAAATAAGATTACAGGGGCAAGCCTATTTAGTATTGAGTAAATGGCTATCTCATTTAATTGGTGAGTCAAAGGCTTTGGTAACTAATTTTTGCCAGCAAATTTGGCAAGAAACTGCCAAAAACCAATAAACTTGGCTGCATTTTGGTCTAGTCCCTGTATAATTGGTACTGTAATAGAAGAACTGTAACCATATCCAGTAAGTAGTATGTGTAACTTTAACCATTTCAAGAAATGGAAGGTACTAGAGATTTGCCAGCAGGTGCGGTAAAACTACATTAGACCAGAGAATAGCAATCAGCTGTCAATTTCTCTGTTCAGAATCGACTACTAAGTAGTGAGATATCTCAGCGTAAGCTTCGCTCTTTAGATTCACTTTGCATTGCATTGTGTTTAACACTCTTAGTAGTTCAAACTGTAACTAATGATTGTGTTCTGCAATACTAACAAGAGCTAATTATTTAAATTAACATAACATTAAATTTAAAATGTGAATAACAGTTTAAGACTACACATAAAATAAACTGTTTCAGTTGGCTCAGATATTTAACAGCCCATATTTTAAAATATTAGCTTGCAAGATGCTAAAGCCAAGATACAATTTTGGCAGAGGTGTCCGTTGTAAATGACAGCCAAGCATGGCTGTGTATTTAAACCTTCAGCTTAAATACACAAAACAACTAATTTGCAGTTTGGTGAGGACTATAGAAAGGAGAAGTTATAGTAAATTTAAATCATAATAATTGTTTAAATAATCTAAAATACTTTAGAAACTCCATATTATGATTTATTAGTAGGGTAGAAAGTGTTCTCTTTGCAAAACCAATCTCTAGATCAGGGGTCGGCAACCTGTTTGTCCTTAAGGGCGCAATACTAAATTTGAAAATCACCGAGGGCGCATATTTTACGGATAATCAACAGGTATAAATAGGCATTAAAAAAACAGATTTTTTATAACTTTATTTTGGTGGTGTCATACATAATGATACATATAATTCAGTGTGAAACTTGGGTGTCCATATTTTCAGCTAATTTCTTATAATTGGGGATATATTTAGAGTTCCCGGTCCTTAAACAATTATCTAAATGTGAGTCATTAAGCTTTGTTCGGTATTTTGATTTCAAATATTTCATATTTTAGAACAAAGACTCGCAATTGTATGTTGTTGCACAATATGAATAAATTTTTAGTGCACATTTCCTTAAAATAGGATACTTATTTTCATCAACTAAGTTTCAAAACATTTATCATTACTATGCGCTTTTAAAATAATATCACTTTGCAAGCTTATTATTTCTAATTCTAGGTCTTCGATATTATGAAGCTCGAAATACACTGAAACTATTTCAAGGACATCATCTTCAGTAACATTGAATGGATTTATGAAAAATCTTAGAACGGGTTCTAATGCTGCAAAATCTTTAAATCTAGAAGAAAACTCTTCTATTAGCTTATCTATAATTTCTAAATATGATGTAGCAGTAAAATTTTCATTATTCAAATTTAAACTCTCAACAGTATATTTCATATATGGGAAATGTGATAATGATTTTTTCAACAGATGGGATTTCAACAACACTAACTTGCATTTGAATGCATTTACTGCACTAATCATGTCAGCGATATGCTGATTTTTCCCGTTGTATTTTTAAAATTTAATTCATTCAACTTTGCCGTTATATCTGTCAGAAATCCGAGGTCGATTAGCCAATCCTTATTTTCTAATTGCTCGTAAAATTCGCCTCTTGATGCAATAAATTCCTTTATTTGTGGCAAAAGCATGATAAACCACTCAAGTATTTTACCTCTGCTCAGCCACCTCACTTCAGTATGTAAAAGAAGATCTGTCAACTGAACGTCCTCATCTTCTAAAAGTAATTTAAACAATCTGTGTTGCATAGCTCCCGATCTTATGGAATTAATAGTTTTTGTTACTAGGGTAAATACGTGTTCAAAACCGATTTTTTTGCGTATAACATTTCCTGATGTATGAGGCAATGATAAGAAATAAATTTTGGGAATAAGGAATCCTGTCTACATAAGGCAATAAATCCTTTTTTCTTACCAGTCATCGCTGGTGCCCCGTCTGTGAATTTTGTAATTTTTTATTGATGATACTTTGTATAATTTTTTTAATATTTTTAAAAGTAAGAATATTCTCTTCTTCTTGGAGATCTTTCTTTTTTAAATGTTAATCTTCACTGCTAAAGGAAATTGTGTTTTTTAAAATTCGAGCAAATTACGAATTTCCATATCATTTAAATTCTGGTTCAAATTCCGCAAAACTTCAATTTTCTAGTAACAGTTTCATGATTTTAACATGTTTTTTTTCCTTTTATAGGAAAAACTTCAAATGGAATTCTAGCAAAATGCTTCTAACATGGCTTCTTTCAAATTTTCAGGTAATCGCTAATTCTAATTGCGGGTTTATATGACACGATTGTTGCTGCTTTATTTGTTGCAGTGGTTTAGTAAAAAAAACTTTGCTGGTTAGTTATTGAATTTTTGTTCTTCTAATTCAGGGAGTCCTTATCAAAATTGATATGAACGGTCGGAATGTCATTCAATATTCTTTTTGGGAAATGCATGGTCGCAACACTTAGTAATCGAAACACATCCCATTAGGTTAAAATAAAATATGGCGCACATGGTTAAATTCGAATTGAATTGGTAGCAAATTAATTGGTAGGTTTTAACATGGTCTATCAAGTGGAATGGTGAAGGATGGGTCTGGGAAACGATCAGTATGAGGTTTAGCAACTGGTCTGTCTAAACAATCCAGAATTTGGTTACTGTGAAAAAGTGTTTCATGAGGAAGGGGTGTGGTTGTTGTGGGCGAAGGTATTTTCCGGGCGAAATAGGTCAGAGGGATTTGGGTGAAATAGAAGGTCAGGACATTTTGTGTCTACCGGGCTACTGCACTCATAACTGATAGATGTGCCCACTTTCGCCCCAAACCGGATGTTTACATAGATCTGGAATATGTGGTCGGACAGTACTTGATCGCCATATATCGCATGACAAGAGTAAGTAAACGCTCTGGGCTATCATTTTACACTTGTTACGAGGCGCCGCGTTGCCTACCCCTGCTCTAGGTCATGGCATTCGACCAAGGAGTAGAAGATACAAGAAGTTCTTAAAGAATACAATTTTATGATTATGTTGTATGCTGCATGGTATAGAGAGAAATGTACAGGTGTCTATGGGGAAGGGGGAAAAAAAACTTTTTTAAGACATCAATGCAAGAGAATTCCTTCATTAAACTGTTGAAGCACTGCACATAGATGCTTGCCTTAGTTGCCACATAAATAAATTGTAGTAAATCATGGGTTGCCATATTATTATTTTGTCAATATAGTGTTTTTTTTTTTTTTTTTTTTTAAATATTTATCCACCTTTCCATTCTTAAACTGGAAAAAAACACAATCATGAATTCCTGTTCTTGAAATCAATTATGCAACTCAGTTTCCCAACTTTTTTAGGTAATAGCCCACTTTTTTCAAACAGTGATTCAATAGTGATAATAGTCCTCTAACTATACTATATTATATATTGAAAATTAAGGAGAGATTTTTAAAATCATTTTTTAAAAAAGATATTAATACCAATATATTGCTTAGCGTTTGATCAACAAATATTGCCAAAAAAATGCTATAGTATTATTAGTAAAAGGGCTAAGCTTGGTGTAATGACACCAGTTTTTCAAAGTTTAGTGTGATATTTGTCATCAAGCATTGCATTCTACTATTTATAAACAGGAGCCATAATAATAATGAAGTACAATCCTCCCCAAGAGGTTTAACATCTTTTCTGAAAAAATATGTCTTATTTCTTGCTTCTGTCTGTTTAGGAGGAAGAAGAGCCGTTGTGTGAAAAATCAAGTACATCAAATTTACAAAATACAAGCCTAGAGAATAATTCTTCAGATCTGACCACAACATATAATAGCAGCTCAAGTATTGCAGATTACTTTGCTCAAAAGATGAAAAAGAAAGCAGGTATGTTTTTAATTTATGAATGTTTATGAAAATCATATTTCTCCATTTGTGTTATTTCTATTTATATTGTTAGCTATTTCTATATATTGTATTCTTTATATTGTTAGCTATTTCTATATATTGTATTCTTTATATTGTTAGCTCATTAAATGCCTAATTAAAATACTGCAAAATATAGAAATACCATAAAACTGTCATAAATTGCTGAGTGTATTTCAGCTAATAAGGAGAGTTAAAAAAATATATGCTGTTGTTATGTACAAAATTAATGGCAACTTAATGTTCAGTTTTGTGGCAACAATCATGAAAAGATAATGGATGATTTTTTTTGGAGATTTGTAATTCAGTATGTGTTTAAACTTTTACCTTTTAACATTCCTTTTAAATTTCTTCTTTGTCTATTTTGGAGTAATGAACAATTAGTATGGTGAGCATTTTCACTTAAATTTCACAATATTGAGAAAATACGTCAAGGCTGTCAGAGCCACAATATATTTGCTAACATCTGCTGAATGCATATGGCAGAAATCATTCTTAGAACATATACAGAAAACGCTTCATATCAACTATCTGTACACGAAACACCAAAATTGTAGCCTTTGAAAGATTTACAAAATGCAATAGCAATATCTTTATTGTAATTAAATTGTACTAAATGCTAAAATTGTAACCTCCCGAGGTGGCCAAATAATTAGAACAATCAGACTGAATCATTTACTGCTGTCATCAAAGGATGGCCAAATATAATTCAGTTTTTTGTTCTAATTGAATGGTATAGAAAAAGATCAATGTTACTGATACCATGCAAGTTTTTAAAGTGCAAAAGCAAGTAATAAACAATTGCATGAAATCATCCCCTCCACAATCTGAAAAACCAAACAATAAAATAAATAAAACACATGCGACAAAATATGCAAGTATATAAATCGGATATGTCAGAATGGACAACTGAGAAAGGCTTAACAACTTTTCACAATTTTTTAGCTATATTTTTGGAGTATTTATATTCCGCATTGCGAAAAACTGTTGAACCTTATTTTTTTTTTTGTCAATTTTATCTCTTTTTTTTTTAGTTACATTTTGTAGTTTAGTTGTAGAGTTTGCTAAGTAATAAGTAGTCGATATAATCATTACATTATAAAAAAGTGAATTTACATTTTATGTTTCATTTTAAATTGTAGTTTTTTATATTTATTTATTTATTTTTTATGGAGGAGGCTGGCATGAAGTGAAAGTATAGAAAACTATAGAACATATTAGCATTTTATTGGAGCTGTAATTAAAACACATCAGCTTTCCAAATGTAATATGTATGTGTTGCATGCATCTGTCCTATTAAATAATGAAGAATTTGTTTGTATATTTCTTGAATTGGGAAAAAAATAATGGCAACAAATTTTAAGTACACTTAATCCTCTACATAAATATGTGTAATAATTTCATCTCCTCAAAACCTGAATTTTGAAAAATTTAATTTCTTTTAGATTTATTTAATATTTTGTACAAATTAAAGAAATTTTCAATTAACAACTTCAGCAATTTGAAAGTGAGCAATGGCTACAGTGTCCTAAAATCTAATGCACGCCAGACTGTAGCCATTCGGCAAAATGACAGATATTTATCTTTCAGTAATAATCAACATACTCAACTGTTTAAAAGCAGTGTGTTGCCACTGAAAGCAGCTACTTTTATCTTTCACATGCCAGCATGTTGCAATGCAGTAAATCCTAAGATATTTAACGCTCAAATTTAATTTGTCTGTTATTGATTAACAAGCCAAGCAATTTAAAAGTAACAAATAGTTATTAATATATACTTTTTTTTAATTTTTCAATTGTAATTTAAATAAAAATGCATTTAAGTTGAGAAATGCGTGGTTAGAGGTATTAAGTATTTTTTCTGGAATTATTGCACTCATTTCTCATTTAAATTATTATATATTTTTCATTTTATAATAACTACTTTAGGTTAATATCTGCACAAGTAGCTAGTACATATATATATACATGGTTTCTTAAAAATGTAGTTTGAAACTTTTAGAGGAGGTACAGCACATCATAAGGATTGAGAATTGCATAGCAACACATAACTGAAAATGTCACTATACATTGTTAAGTAGTAATCTGCAGGAGAGCACTGGAGGGAAAATGAGGTTTCCTCATTTGAGCAGTAGCCAGCATATGAAGAGCATGCAGTGGTATATGAACGGTGAGCTTGCTGACATGCACTTAGTGTAAGGAACAGCTGAAGGCAAGGCACGAGCCGCTGAACTAATTTATTGAGAATGTTTCCCAAACAGACATCAACTGCACCATAGTGTGTTTGCACATGTGCAGTGAAATTTGTGTGAGTTTGAGTCATTGAGAAGTAGCAGGACTAGTGAGGTCAGGCCATAATTGATGCATTTGGTTGTTATTAAAGAAAATGTGTTGAATGATGTGGAAACAAATCCCAGTACCAGTGTATGTGCCATTGCTTCTGCCTTAAGTATCTATCATTGCAATGTACAATGTGTTTTGAACACTGACTCCTTACAAACCTTTTATCTCCAAAGGGTTGATCATCCTGCAAGCATGTGCTTTGCACAGTGGTATCTGTAACAAAATGTCTGAGATGTAAATTTTCCAGCTTATGTGTTGTTCACTGATGAGGCCACATTCAATAGGTATGATTTATTCATTCAGCGTAATGCATATTTGTATTTCAAGAAAACTCCACGGTGTGCTGCATAACATGGCACAACACCGCTTCACAGTAAATATGTGGGCAGGTTTAGTTGATGACCTACTTAGTTGAGCCGAACTTTTTACCACAACCACTGCAAATTATTGTACCTTTCTGGATCAGGTTCTTCCGCCTTACTTGACGATGTTGCAACAAATGTAAGGTGTTGCATGTGGTTCCAACATGATGGAGCATCTGTTCTTTTTGGATTGGCAGTTTGTTTGCTTTTGAACAGGTCATTTGCGCATTGTTAATTGGGCTCCCTGGCCCCCATGCTCACTTGATTTATCGAGCCTTGATTTCTTTCTGTGGGTGCTTCTATCATGATCCTGTGGAGTCTGGAATGGATCTCCTGGCAAGACTTGTCTGTGCTGCTGCTACAATCAAAGAAACTCATGGTGTGTTCAACTGTGTCCAGCAATCGATGCTCTATCATCATGAGGCATGCTTACCGTATGATGGTGCAAACTTCGAGCATCTGTGGTAATATTACAGCTGTATTCATCTTGTATGCCATTTGTACTCATGATGTCCAATAAATGTTTCAAATCTCTCTCTAGTGTCCTTCCAATCTTCTAACTCTGCTACCATTTACGCCTGATGTTTCGAGTCATGTGTTGCTATGCAATTCTCAGTCCTTGTGATATGCTCTACCTCCCCTAAAAGTCTGTTGCTACATTTTGAGACACACTGTTTATATATATATATATTTTTCATCATGGTTTTTATCATCATTTTGTTTTTTCAGGTAACTTCCTTACTTCTACTTCCATTCATTCAAAGGAACTGAATTCAAATTGCACTTGGCCCTTGCTTTCAAATGAAATTCAAGAATCTAGTGAACTTATTCAAGAGTCATTACCTAATGATATTGTAATTAAAAATGAGAAAAGAAAAAAATCTCAAAAAAATTCTAAATTTAAAAAGCATAAACTCAGTAAAATTTCCAAGAGCTGCTTAAAAAGAGTAGCATATGGAAATAAGACGCTAGTAAAAATGAAGAAAAACGTGTCATTTAATAATATTATTTCATATCATGAAATTCCTGTAGTTTCTGATGAAGATAGTGCAACTTCTAATGAAGAAATTACAGAATTTCAAAATTTAGACAATGAAAATAATGTTGATGAGCAAATTCCTAGTGAAATTTCCTATGTACAGAATTTCAAACATAATGAAGAAAATGAAAAATTTGACTTTAATGAAATATGCAGCAATAATCATTGTGTAAGTAATGATAATGACTTAATACTTAATAAATCTGGTCAATCATCTGGTGACATTATTTCTAAAAAGGTAGGAATTGAAAGGAGTTCTGACAATTCCAATGTTGTGCATTTAGAAGAAATCCAGAAACATACATGTAATCATGTTACTTCAAATGCAAATTGTATTGAATCAACACTTTTGAATATAACTCAGGAACAGAATGAATTTGTGCCAGAATCTTCTAATAGCACTATAGTTAAAAGTAAAAAAAGGAAAAAGTCATCAAAAAATTCTAAATCTAAAAATTGTAAACTTGATACAGTTTCTGAATTTATGAGCTGTTTGGAAAGTGTAACAAATGGTAATAAATTTCTAGAAAAAGTGCCAAAGAATGCATTTCTTAATAACTCTATTTCCTCTCAAGAAATTTCTTTTGTTTCTGGTGAAGATCATGAAGTTTCTATGAAAACTGTCACAGGACTCAAGGATACTGATGATAAAAATGGTACAGTTGAACAGAAATTTAGTAAAAATTCCAATCTACCAGACTGTGGCTTTAGTAAGAGAAATAAAGTAGCAGAATTTGTGAAAATAAATGTTAATAATCATTGTAAGAATCTTGAAAAGAAGTTAGCTCTTAATGATCATTCAGCTGGTGATACTACTACTAAGAAAGAAGACGAAAGGACTACTACTAAGAAAGAACACGAAAGGATGTCTGAAGTGCATGATTATTCAGGAAACACATATTTCAAAGAAGTTCAGAGAAAAGCAAATAGCACTTCAAATTATAATAGTTGGTTAGAGAGTCAAAGAATAGCAATGAAAATGAACATATACAAAAGCATGAGAGAAAAAATTAAAAATCATCGTGTTTTAAGTACAACAAATTTATTACAGATAAAAGGGTATGGAAACTGGGGTTTTTAAATAAAATATATAAAGAAAATAGTTTATTTGTTATCGTTATTTAATACTGCATTATCATCAGAAACAGTTTTATATATTTCCTTTTAGAAGCCGAGAATTTTTCAAACTTTTCTGAAGTTAAATTATGGTGGTCGGCTTATACATAGATCCACTTAATGTGCAAAAAACATTGGTACTTTTCTGTTAACTGGGGCACTTATTATTTCTTTAGTTTATGAAAAAAAATATTTTAGATGAAAAGAGTTACTTGTTTTATGAAAATGAATTATTTCATTTTCGAAATCCTTTTTCATTTATAAAGAAATGCTGAGCAGCCATACTTTTGATAGAATTTTCTGCAACTTGTAGTTGAATTTCGCCATATAAGAAGTTCTCTTCATGCTCATCATTGATGAAATGGTGCTCATTTCATTGCAGAAAATAAGACTATCACAGATAGTACACAAGCAAACAAATGAGTGGGGGGGGGAAATGGGCTAGCTTTATGTAGGGTTACCAGATTTGTTGACATCTATTATTTTACTTTAGAGTGATTTGATTGGAAACTGCTTACAAACATTTTCACATTCATGGCAAAATGTTTGAACATTACAAGAGTTGTTTTTAATTTTGACTTACATATAGCTTTTAATTTTGGTTAAATTTTAGAAGAAAAATTGATTTATATTTGAAAATATACAGTAATTATATAACAAACATAAATATTTATATGTTTCTTTCCTGCAAACAAGTGAAATGAAGTTGTACGATTTATATATATTAGCTGCCATTTGAATTATACATTCTCATCTGATAACGGATAATTATGAATCACACACACACACACACAAAAAAAAAAAAAAAATATTAACATTGTCACCACCAAAAGAAGTGAATAATAAATCTAAGTAAAAAAAATGTTAAGATTTAATTACAATAATTACACACAAATAGCTGTTGTTATGTGCTTCACCATAATTCAAATAGTTTTAACACATGCAACTCTGGGTATCGAAACAATATTTGGCAAAAATGTACTTTCTATTAGCAGTCTCATTTGGCATTTGGAACTGTTTTGTAATATGGTACTTAGCCTTTTTGATAGGATGCTGTTAAAGGAAAATACTCATTTGAAATAATGGAAATACTCTTGCACATTCATTAATTAATATTTTCTGTTAAAATGATGCATAAGCGATAAACTGCCGATCTTTTAAGGGGCTGAAATAAAAAAAAAAAAAAATGCTTCTTCTATCATAACTTTTTTTTTCCTCAAAATTATAATTATTCTGAAAAAAATGACTTTATGGCATAATATTGAATTCATAATTAAATCCTACTACTATTTTTAATTTAATTAAATTTATATTGAATTATGTCAAAATTAAATTCTCTTAATTTTTATTTTCAACTAAATTTTATTTGAAAATGCAAGACACATCAAGAAAGAATTGTCCAATGAAGACAAAAATTTTCAGATAGGAAGATTATGTGCGGAATAGAAAATAATTAAAATTTCAGAACAATTGAATGATTTATTTCAGAGTTACATAGTTACAAAGTAACGAGCTCAATAAGCCCACCTCTAGCCAGGATGCAAGCTGCCACATGGCGTGGCATAGACTGATGAGATTCCTGGATGGTCTCTTGCAATATTTCTTGCCAGCTTTGCAACTGCAAAAGGAACAGTAGCAAAACAGGTCTCAGAATGTTGTTGTTGAACTGCTGTGCTGTAAGTGTGCCTTTAATGATAACCAAATGGGCCTGGCTATCAAGAGGAATGGCACCCCAGACCATAACTCCTGGATGAAGGCCTGTGTGGCATGCAATAATAAAAGCAGGATCGGCATGCTGCTCTGGGCATCTCCAGACGCATCTTCAATGACCGTCATGACACAGTTGGAAGCGGGATTTGTCACTAAAGACTACACGTCCTCAGTCAGCATCATTCCAATGTGATCGAACCAAGCACCACTGTAATCTGGCTCGAGAGTGTGCAGGCATGAGTGGCAGGTGGCATAACGGTCGGTATGGGAATATATTTTGCTCTATCAGCCATCTGTGAATGGTCATGGTGGACACTCATGTGCAGGTCGCACATATGATGGTTGATAGCGATGAATCGGGGGCTGTGGCAGCTTATCTGACAATCACTCTGTCCTCCCGATCTGTTGTGGTCCTAGGTCGACCGCTACCATCATGACGCTGAAATCTGCCACTGTCGACCCATTCTTGCCAGCATCTTCTAATCGGTGCATCGCTTCGAATCCTCATGATGAGCAATTCTCCAATTTGCCCAACCTGCGTCATTCAATCCAATATAACTCTCCAATGATAACTTCGCTTTCAAACTGTGATAGTTGCTCGTAATGAGCTCAACTCCTGTGGTGAGGCATTTTTTCAGTCATTGAAAGGTATCCTAAATTTCAATGCAACAGAAATTTTTAACAACAGTTCAAGAACAGCTCCTTATATACATATGCTGGATGCGCTGGAGATCACATTATTCATTTACCGGACACCAAATTTTAATCATTTGCATATTTGGTCGAAACATTCATGCATACGAAATTTCAAACCAATCGAATGATTCCTTCTTGTTACGTCGAATTTTTTTGTTAGAGTGTGTATATCAGGTGGAGCAATAACTCACTAAATGGGTCTAGTAGGGTTGTAGGACTTAGATACTATTCCCAGATAAATAGCAAAATATTCTTTTATCCTAGAATGCTTTTCTCTTTTATTTCTTTTAAATATCATTTGAAGCTTGATGTATATCAATGCTTCACCTTCAAGTCATTAAATTGCTTCCATTTCATATTTATCCTTAATTTAATCCCATGAGTGAAATGACTACCTTTATGTTGTTGTTTTTGCATGTTGAGAGAGCCAATTTCAGAACAATTTAGACTGTTTATTAGGCAAAATTTGCATGTTGGGAGAACTAGTTCCCTATTTCAACAAATGTTGGTTTAAAGAAAGGCAATTGTCTCACCACTTCCTTAATTTAAATCACTTCTTGAGTTTTTTAATTTTTTTAGTCGTCAATTCCTTATTCCGATTTAATGAGGCCATCATCCTGTATCATCATGTATTCTTCAGCTCTTATATAGGTATTCATTTCAATAAAATAAAAGTGGTAGCTATTGTTCTTGCATATTTTTTCTGAAATTTCATTACAGTCATGCATTCATTAATGAGTAAGAGACTGGCAGCCTAGGCACATTAAATCGTCATTTTATTTTCAATAAACATATTGCGGCTACAAACAACCTGCCACATTATTTGTGCCTATAATCAGGTTGGTTTACATTTTTCATAACCTTGAATGATAAGGCTGAATAAAGGTTTAAAGGTGTTTTCTTCTTAACTGATGGAAAAGTATTTTTTGAACTCCGTTTGCCAGGAGAAGGAATAATTTTGTTGAATATTGTGGAGGAGCTATAAAACTAATAAACAATTTTTAATTTATATATAGAGAGAAAAATTTTATAAAATTTCTAAAACATTTATTACAATTGTAAAATTTCTTGATTTAATGCTTAAGAAAATGTTTATTTTTATTTTTTTTTTTGGGGGGGGAATATTGTAGTATTCTAATTCCTGCATTGAAGGTTATAAATATCTATTTGTAGATTTTAAAATTTCTGAATTCTAACATATGTTTCCGACGGACCCAAAGTTTGGCCACTCCTGTTCTACATAAACAGAAGAACAGCTGTGCTTTGAGCTTAAAAGAATTTATGAACTCCAAGTGTTATTTTAAGATTAGGTTAGGGAGTTAAAAAATTATTTTCCTCCAACTTGGCAGTTTCAGTAAATGAAAGAAAAATATTTTTTTTGTTCTTGCTATGAAATGATCCAGTACTAAAAAAAAATATATATATAATTTCTATTCTCAGCGTGGAAGATTATATAATTTGAGACCGATAATTACTGTCGCATGTTAACAGAATGATTTGCTGAACAAAATATCTTTGACATACTCGAATAAATCAGTTCAGAACTGCAGGTTTTATCCAGTGCTGCCATCTATTGCTGATATTACTACTATTATTTTACTTTTTATGGTTGTCGTGACAGTATTACTTTAACCGTCAATAACATTAATAATCCAATTAATAATTATAACACATGCATGGATTAATGATCCAATTAATAAGTATGCATTACTCTGGATTTGTTTAAAAAGTTTTAAGTTTCTAGTACGTAATAACTCTTAAAAGAAAACAAAGCCATTTGTCTGGTAATAGATTGTATAGAAATGGTCACTGAATACACCGATACAAATTAATTAAATGGGTTGTATCACTTTTTAAATTGTTGCCACTAAATATTATCACCTTGTATTATATTTAAAATAAATTAAATAATGGAAAATCTTCATATGTATGTTCTGAAAAAGCGAAGGTACCTAGGGTCATTAAATTTTGAATAACGTAGTCCTTCACCTGAACATGTGCACTTAGAACCCTGAATTTTGAATTTCAAATTTTATATTTTGTAAAAGTTTATAGAATTTTTAATAAACTCTACAATTCGAAAGCGAACAGTAACAACACTGTACGAAATAAATAACTTATCTCCAGCGCTCGAGACATTATATCGGAAATTCTAAAGATATGCTGTTTTGAAGTATTTTGTTCTGTAATTTGCTGTTGAACCAAATTTTACGTGGCATAAGTGTGAACAACATGATGTTTAATTAATAAATTTAATGCACAAAACGTTGATAATAAAAGGAAAAAAAAAAAGGTTTGCGAGCAATCTTATTAAGAAAATCAACATTTATACTATGAACTGAGAAAACACTGGAAAAAGTAGAAGACTGTATGCCACTGTATCGGGAATTCTAAACACATGCCGCTTTTAAAACTTTTGTAATTTTGCTGTTGAATTGTATATCACATAAGTTTGAAGAAAATGAGGTTTAAAAATAAAGCTAAAAAGACAAAAAGAAATATAGGAGTGAGTAGAAAGCGAGCTCAGCGAGAGCGTAGAAAAAACTTAATGAACCCTTTGGACGACGATTAAAATCTAAG